TATTAACATGGGAAGTTTGTCATATCCAAATGTTTTGTTTGATTGAAAACTTTTAGAAATCTCAATGATTTCATTTTCTGTTGCCGGGTTAAAAAATATGGAATTAGGATATTGGCCTACAAGAGAATTTAGATGAGAGTTAGGGGTAGATTGTATTCTTTTAGCAAGATTTGGACCTATATTTGAGAAATAGTTACAAAATCTATTAGCAATTTCTGTAGGATCAGAAATTTCAAAATTATCTACTTTAAATGATGATGGGAATTTCAATTTTGACCGCTTCTTATTTATCGGACTTCATTAAGTGTCTTCCAAGTAGATTTAATGTTTGATTTCTCATTTTCTAATCTTTTTGTGTAATATAATGATTTAGCAATTCTCAAAGAGTGGGTCAATTTGTTTTTATACCTTTTATAAGATATCTCATTAGCAAGAGTTGGGTCACTTATATATTGTTTATATAGTTTATTTTTCCTTTTTATGGATCTTAGCAAACCTTTTGATAACCAAGGCTTGTCAATCTTGTGATGTTTTATCTTTATTCTTCTTAAAGGAAAACAGTTGTTATAAATTTCTGTATACTTAGCTAAAAATAATTCATGCCTTCACAGCTAATTGAAAACACAGGCAAGTGATCAGAAATATCTGTAAATAACAGGCCACTTGTAGATATGGAAGAAAAGTTGTTCGTAAATATGTTATCGATTAATGTTGAAGTATGAGCTGTTATTCTTGTTGGACAAGTTATAAGTGGAATAAACATATTTGAATACATTCCATCTAAAAATTCACAAGTCAAGGAATGACTGTCATAGTTCAATAAATTTAGGTTAAAATCCCCCATTATATAACAGGTTTTATTTTCATTAGACATTTTTCCTATTATATCATTATACTTGCTTAGAAAAGATTGGCATTTTGATTTGGTGGTCGATAAATTATTCCAATAACGATATTTTTACCATGTGGTATGCAAACTTCAATAAATAAGGATTCCGCAACATCATCATCATCAAAAATTAAATCAATACGTATTTTAGAGGTAAAGCAATCCGACAAGTACAAACCAACACCTATAATTTTTTTTATTAACCCTGTGTTTATGAAAAAAATTATATCCCTCAATATCAACAGGGTGTTCTGAGTTTTTTAGCCAAGTTTCAGTTATCCCAATTACTGAAAATTCAATAATCAAAGTACTTAATAAATTTGTTAAATTTGATAAATTACTTTCAAGACTGCGGATGTTTAGATGAAATAATGAAAAACTGGGAGCACAGGAAATCTGTGAATTTAACATTTTGTTAAACTGATCTTCAACAAAATAATCGCAGTGGTTAACGAAATTATCATAAAAGTGTGAATCTGGGTCCAGATCATTAGACAGAAAGGGGCGATGGCCTGCACCCGAAATCAATGGATTATAATTTAAACTGATTAATCTCTCATGACTGAAATTAATAGGGCCGTTTTTTAACTCAAACATTTCTAAGAAAAATTCAGAGTCGTCAAGACCATGAAAAGGCAAAGCATTCATTGACATTGAAGACTGCATTATAAATAAAATTAATATACATTAATTATTTAGAATTACTTAGCTTCATAGAGAGAGCTAGGGTGTAAAATTTGCACTGAACAACTCAAACTCCTTCATTGATTTGAATGATACAGCAGCATCAGTATCAGTTTTCTTCACATAGGACTTGCCATATTTGGTCCAAGCATACTTGAAATTATATTTTCTCCGGAACCCTCACTTTATAAAACAGCTCCTTGGCTTTAGGAGTCAAGCTTTCGTTAATATATAATTTGTTCACTGATTGCGAAAAACCAACAAAATTTGATGAGTTGAGACCTCTCAAACGACCTTTATTATGGTATACAGCATCTCTGATGTTTCGACTGGTAAATTTAGCAATTATTGGAGGCGTAGTACCTTTTCTAGATGGTAAACGATGACTCACTGAGACATCAGAAGGTTGAATGTCGACTGCAATTAACTTACACATTTCAGTAACCAACTCATCAGTATTCTCACTTGGCATTTCGGGTACGCCGTGGAATTCCAGGCAATCCCTTCGAGAATATAATTTAAGATCTTCTTGCGCTTCCTCTAACTCAAGTATTTTCGAACTCATTTGATTCATCTCGTACTTTAATTTATTTTTGAGAACAGGCGTAATATATCAGTGATCAAACTTACGTATTTTTGTAACAATTCGCGCTGCAAAAATGTGTACACGCGCTCAGTCTTATTATGTACGTATGTTCTTATTCGATGCGTTTGACTAGGCATGTGAGTTATCTAAAGTTGTCATTAGGGTAGCAACGATGTAAACAATGTTAACAACGTTATAGAGATTATATAGGCCACTGGCTGTGTATATGTAGCTGTAAATGTGTTGTCTACCACGTGCATTCATGTTGGACTCAAAACTTCTTTATGACCTTCACAAAACCTGTGCAAGCAAAAACAGATGTATTATATGGATTACTCACAGCTAGTCGTTCGTCTTTTCGTTTTTTCACAAGATCTTGCTGTTGCTTCTTTTGATCAAGCTAAAAATATTGAAAATGAACATCACTCATTGTCTATAGAATTTTCCAAGTTAATATTTTTAAATATTTTTGACTTAGTTCAAACATGGCACTTTATCATGCGACAAACCCCATACCTAAACCATTGTTTGAGCTAATTTTTTGCATCAGTTTCGGTACATGCATGTAACTTTATTTTAACTAGATCTTTATCTAGTTTTATTCTTGCATGCTAGAAATAAAACTGTAACGAGCCTGGCTCTTACTGTACATGGTCTTTTATATACGGGAGCGTCTCGCCTTTGGACGAAATCATTGAACATCCAATCAAAAGACATGAAAATTCCAGCGTCGTATTCGTACCTCATCACATATATCACTTGATTGAACGAAATATTTTTCCCACGCACGGGTGGGAACATTGTTTCCGTTCCTGACTGGCTTTACATGCATTGCGAAGCGAGTTTTTGGATAAATAATAGCCTTCCTAAATATAACAAAAATTAGTATATCTTACTACACTCTGAACATATTCTTCTTCTTCAACTTTAAGTCTCCTGCTAGCTTCGTTCCTGTTGCTCACGAGACCTTGAAACGTTTGAAATTATGAGATTGTACGCCCAAAAGTTACAAACCAAAGCACAATACACCCTACATCCTGAAATGCCTATTAGCTTGCAGATTGCAATGAACCTTTTTCATAATGAGCTCAAATGCTACGTCAAATGCTACGTCAAATGCTACGTCACCATGGCCATAGGCACAGAACTTCGTTTTCATGATTGAGTTGTTGGCCTTAAACTAATACGGAGCTTTAGCAGCGAGTACGAGTACGACTATGCGTATGGGTATGAGATTTGATCGCGTGCGAAGAAATCACCGTGGTCGTTCTCGTTTCAGTTCAAATGTTGCTTTTATAGTAGTAAACAAACAACGAAAGAAAAGTTTCTATAAACTAAATCTCCTGCAGGCTAAAATCTACTACAAAATGTGCATTTATAAGTCATAACATTAAAAACAAGCCAGATATTTAGTACTAATAGATGATTTTTCCCCGCCCTAAACGCTACAAATTATTTTTGAAAACAAAAAAAAAGCCAACTTTCTTTGTTTTTTGAAAAGTCGTCGTGAGGACTACGAGATTTCTCCACAATTTCGTTCTCAGAGTGGCGACGGCACAGAGTAGAGACATACAGAGCTGTAACTGACCGTCGTAAACACCGCGGAAGCTTACGTTTTCATGTACCCACTTTTTTTCAGGCGACCGGGCAAAAAATGATCAACTGCGCGTGCTCAGCAAGTTTAAAGTGAGTCGTCATCAGGTCGTCATCCAATCAGATGCATGCATCTAGTAACCTGCCGAGCATGCGCACAAAAAAGTGGGTACACTAGTTACAACTCTGTATGTCTCTCCTCTGTGGCGACGGCTATTTCGCGTCAGTACGGGATGGCGTAAGCATACAGCATGCGTTTCGCTTGACGAATCTCGTACTCGCACTCGTACTCGTACTCGTAGTCGCTGCTAAAGCTCCCTAATGTCACATACACGAAAACGAGGCTCTATAGCCAAAGTGACGTCCTTTCCGTAAGGGTGCATTACTGATTTTCAAATGAGTGATGAAATATTGCAGAAACCATGAGTATTTTAAATAAATAAATAAATACAATACAAATACAATATTAATTCCAAAAATGGTAAACATTTTGAAAGTGTTTATTCGACGTTTCTACAGAACAAATAATAATTATTTAACTAATGACTAACTATTGCAAGAATGGCATTTCAAAAATATATCTTAAAACTGGTAAAAATATATCTTCAAAGTTTATAGGCTGAGAAGACTCAATTCAAGACACATAAGCTTTTGCTTGAGTCGATCAAATTATGCTAAAATATCACGTGAGTGAAACCCAATAATATTCCAGGTACTAGGTTTTAATTTCTTCCAGTGTATAGTTTCAATATATAAGCGCCATGTACCTGGTTCTTCATCAGTATTTTGAATATTGTCTGTTGTTTTTCCTGTAGATGTTGCTGGAAATCAAACATATTACATTCGATAATTGTACAAGAGCGACACAATCAAATAATATACAACCATATCACTGCCTGGGGGCCAGTTGATGAAACTCATTAATGCTTAACCACTACATAAATGTATGTGAATCATTCTGACAGTTTTGCATTTTGCCCGACAAATTAATTCCCTGCTAAATTCGAAATGCTAAAAATGTTTCACCACATTGCCCTATTTTCTTGCATTTTTTTACTATTATCATACATATTTCTTGTTTCTCAGTTTATTTTCCCCACTTTTTCCCAACTTATGTTCAACATTTGCCCGGTGTACGTTCAACTTATCGACATTTCAATTTTTTAATGTTATTGAACTCAGGGGCGAAACTTGAGGGGGTATGGGGGGGGTGACACCCCCCCCCCCAAAAAAAAAGAATCATCTGGATTGTCAGGGCGAATCATCTGGATTGGCAGGGCAATCAAAGACTTTAAATGATAGAATGTAGAGTTATTAAGTAACTTACAGGATCTAAATTTTACAGATATTGGTCCAAAACTATGGGTTTCACCCATGTTTTAACAGGAATCTGTATGGAAAAATGTTTTTGACCCTTAATTTAACTGGTTTATGTTCGGAAAAATTTTTCCACCCTTGTTCTAATATCGAGAAAAAATTTTTCAAACTGCCTTTAAGGCCTGTTTAAACGGATCCAACATTGTTGGACCAACATCATCCAACAATGTTACTATACTAGATATGACTGCTTCTCTTTCAAATCTTTTTGGTTAGATAAGCTTTACTCAAACTCTAAACCTAGTCTTGACAAAAATATTTGAAAAAGAAGCCGTTTGGGCCATTATTTCAACAATGTTGGATGATGTTGGCCAACAATGTTGGATCCGTTTAAACAGGGCTTAAAACATATTTGATATTTCCTGATTTCTGAAACTGATTTCCGAGTCAAGTGTACAAGAATCACAAGATTTCTGCCATGACCGAGGCTAGCACTCATGATGCAATTAGAAACTTTGACATTAATTTGTAGTTACAAATTTCGCACCACTTTATACTGATTTTGGCAGCCCATAAAATCCCCACTAGCGCTTTATTACCGAAGTATTAAAACGCCGCGTCACCACTGACACCACAGAGGCATCTCTAGTTCAAACTTACTTCTATTACTCCGTGATGCCGTATGCAACCGATGGTCTACACCTGAGACAAAAAGACGAGATTTTTCATCAAAATTACCGTCAATCGCTCTCCAAAATTGTTTTGCATATTCTATATTTTCAGTCGAAGTGTCAGTAAAAGTTATTGATTCTCGCGCTAAAACAGCGGCCATTTTGAATTACCATGGCAACAGAAACACACATTAGTTTCGAGAGGTCTGGTGAATAGCGAATAAGAAGAACGTCATGTAACGTTTTCCGTAGCGTTTCTGAGAAATGTATTATTATATGATCACAGAAAGTTCGCAATTATTATTACGAAAGTCACCGAACTGTGGAATCGCATCAAAAATTCGTATATCGACCACTCCCACAAACGTCTACGACCGCGCCTACATAGTTTTGCATGTTTACAATTCTAATTTTGAACAGCCAATCAGGTTCTTGGTAACAATTACAATTAAACGTCGATTGGCTGTTTAACTGATTAGAATTGTAAACATGCAAAACTATGTAGGCGCGGTCGTAGACGTTTGTGGGAGTGGTCGATATACGAAATTTTTATGCGATTCCACAGTTCGGTGACTTTCGTAATATTAACCAAAGAAGACGAATCTACAGTGGTCTAAGAAAGTCGTTAGATGACATTTTAGTGTTGAATCAGGGACCACGGGCAATTTTATGATTGCCGGGAATGGGGGGGGGAGCTTATTTATCCACTTAGTATAAGTTAACCAGGAAAATTTAATGTGTTTAATTTAATTTACTATGCTCATGATTCATGAATGGCAAATTGTAGCATTCATTCGACAAAAGTTGAGCTATTCGGGTATCATATGGGTCGAATTACAGACCTGCCAACCTCCAACAGCAACAAATCTGGAGATCTGATCGAAAGTTTCTTGAGATTGACCCTTAATTCTGGAGATAAAATACTGAAAATCTGGGGTAATTCTGGATAAGACAATTACTGTAATCATTGCCTGCAGATGACTGACCTATGTTCGTGACATAGCAATTTTTAATTACTGCCCTCCAAAATAAAACTTTAACTCAACAGTTTACTTACTAAAACGGTACAATAATGGAGCATACCGCTTAGATTATTCAAAATGGCGGAGTAGTTAGACTACTTTAGGAATGAGTAAATAAATTGTGTTGGAGATTTTTTACAAATTAGAATTCCGGTCAATGGCTAGTTTTATTTCACTTCAATCACTCCAATTTTAAAGTCTAGTGGTGGTTAAAATTTCAAAGTCGTGAATCCGTGAGATTTGAAAATGTTTCCGTGAGTCCGTGAGATAATGCCTGAATTCGTGTGTCACACGGGAAATCCGTGAGAGTTGGCAGGTCTGGAATTATCGAATTGTCAAAAAATGTCACTATTTACTGCGGCAGTCAATATAAAAAAGATAAAAATTAGAATGTTCTAGGTCATAACAAATTACTATACTTAGTCTTAGACTGTTTACTGTTACTATATATAAAACTATTTTTTAGCCTATTGGTCTTACATATGGGCACAATCATTAAAACTTCGTCTATTCGGACTATTCCTTAGGTTAATGTTACACGTGTTCGGTTTGAGTCTATTGTTTTGTTCTTTTTAAAATTGGGTAATCAGCTGTGTAACTTATGGTTTACATTGGAACTAATATCATTAAATAAGGGAGCATTCATTTTTTAGCTGGGGGGGTGGGCCGGAGGAACTGATGTCTACTTCCATGCGAAAACTTGGAACCCCCAAGACAAAAGTTGATAAAAAATTATGACCCCTATTTTTTTTACTGAAAATTTTTTGACCCCTCATTCTAACTATTAATCCACACGGTGTCGTTTCCATAGCGTTTCAGGGCCGTAGGAAGCTCTTTTTGATTGAGGGGCTGAAAGTGAGGGCCGAAGGCCCGAGGAAATTTTTAAATCTAGAGTCTCTGAAATGCCATTTCCTGGCCTATGGGGGAAGATTTGATAGAATTCTGATGGTCAGAAAACAGCGTTTTAGTATGTCGAAATTGACAATTTGGTAGTACTAAATGGGCAAAGGCATATTTAATTTACTATATATTGGATAACTAGAATAAGTTGCAGGAAACTGTCGGTACTATCTTCATTCTTTGCAGTTTGTCATGGATAGTGAACGGACCTATGGATTGTGTGAACAGAGCGTCAAATGAATTTTGCTTCATTGTTATAGATGACGACATAGTTGATAGATTCTGGACCTTTTTACCATTCTTGATCCAAATATTTCCAAATTCAATAAAATCATACTGGTGATTTTTTCACTGATTATTTTTATGACCCCCTGCATTTATACCAAAATTATAAAAAGACCCACCCCTTTGAAGCACGTCAAAATTGGCTGACCCACCCCCAAATTCCTCCGGCCCACCCCCCCAGCTAAAAAATGAATGCTCCCTAATTGTTTTGTTAGAGTCAGTCTCTGCGATTGTATAGTGTAGGAAGGTTACTGGCTATGGTTGCCGGATTGTAGCAAAATTCAATACACACATTTTATATTAAATACACTCTTAAAATATTCAATAAACCGTTTTAGATTCAATAATTACCGAAATATTCAATATCTTCGCAAAAACATTCAATAATCTACACTAAATATTCAATACAACATCTGAAATATTCAGTAAATTACACCGTAAAATATTCAATGCGCCCAAAAAAGTATTCAATAAAACAATCCTGAAAAAATATTCAATAGCTTTTGACCAGCGGTATACCGCCAAAAAAATAACATCCACCACTGGCAGTTTAATACATTCCCATAGATTTGCCATCTTTATAACAGCGAACACCTTGCGACTAAATATTTATAAAGCGACATGTTGCAGTTTAGTTTCTTTTTCGGTTTTATAGAAGTATTTTATTAATCATACTTTTCATTTGTAAATAAAGTAGATACTTATATGTATAAACAGTGATTAAACATGCACTGCACATAAGCTTTTTGACTTGCAATCATTTACTGTAGTCTGTAAGTTAATGTAGTTTGCTGTATTACAGTAATACTTTTATATGTACATACAAAGACGAGTCTGACTCGTGGGCTGACTTTGAACATCAAGATGGCTACTTGACGGCTGCTCACCACTCACAGAGGTATGAGGATGGTATCCACTATTATCTCTATTCCATTCGGAGTTTTCGGAGATAATTTCCTCCAATAGTTCACTAATTTTAGCTCATTTTAAGGCCAAGGTTGGAAAAAAATAGTTAAAAGCTAAAAATTGTTAGATGCAATCATTTAACTATCCTGAACAATATAAGTAGTATAGGAAGTAGCGGTTCTAGACCACTTTTTCAGCCCGCGATCCCCACCCACTTCCGGTTAGCGGCTTCCACCATTTCTTCCAAAAACCGCGGGCTCAATTTTTCTGAACCAAAAACCATCTTATTTTTTCTGGTCTTTTAACTCATTTTTCTTGTAGGATTTTCCAGCATTATTTTTAACTCATTTTAAGTCTTATTCAACATCTTTTATTTCACCCCTGTGGATACTTAAGGGGCCGCGGTTCTAGACCACTTTTTGGATTGCGCCCTGTCAGCACTTTTTTAGTTTTCGCTTTTATCTCACCGTAAATCCCCCAGATTCTCACCAAATGTTCTAGACCACTCAGCAAGAATCCTAGGACCTCTCATCTTCGGCGCTACATTCTTAATCAACTTTCATCTTATTTACAAATCCTCTATTCAACACTTTCTTCAGTATCCTACTACAACTAACCTTCTGCTACCCGGGGTTCTTATCACTTGAACGCCCAACGCCTTAGCCTTTTCGTTCATTACCGTTTTGAGATTCTTCTTCTCTTCTTTCGGTAGTAAGTCGTAGTTTTTTGTTATGTGATTCTCATCAGTTACAACTACTCTTAAGGGTGCCGGCTTTTTGAACTTGAACCGTTTTAGTGGAATCACCACTTTGTACTCCGGTCTGGGAATATACTCTTCTACCCTAGGTTTCACCAGCGTTTTCAGTGTTTCTTCACAGAAGCTTACAGCCCTTTCGAGCGTGTAGTATTCACTTTTAGGTTCCGCTCTTACTAGTACACAACTCGGTTCAGTTCTTTCTTCAATCAGCACCTCAGCGTCTGTTTTTCCTATTAGGTGGTGTCCCTAGGCGTAACTTGTAACTCCATCTTCAAGTAAGTATCTTTTATCATCGAAACAGCTAAGAGTGATCTTCTTCAATTCATAAGTTCCGATTTTGTGTTTGATGCTCCTGATTGTGTTCATCTTATGTCTCATCCGACCTTTCGTCTTAATCACGTTCTTGAAGTTTTCGTGAGTGAGCTTGTTTCTGATCACGTACTTTTTCACTCCCTTTGCGGTCATTCCACCTCCACCGCTTTCCTTCACATATGAGTACATCTTTGACCTTAACCCAACAAACTCGACTACGGGTACTCCTTCAGCTTCGTCCTTAAACTTACCAATTACCTTCTTGTTGTGAGCCGAGTAGTACGGAGAATCTTTTGGGTAATCTGAGTTGTCCCAGCAGTCTTGTTCTTCACCGATTCTCCTGAAGTCCTCGTAGACATCATCAGTTTTTATTTCATACATCAGACTGTCGGTATCAGTGAATAGTAGCTTTGACCTGTCACCGTACTCCTTCTTAATCGTGTTATAATGGAAATCATACATCAGAGTCTTAGACAAGTCTAAGATGCTCATTCCAACGTAGCACGGTTTATTAAGAGTCAGAACCTCCTTCATTCGCTTTACCACTATTAGGTTCTCATTCATAATCCTATGTGACTGGAAGCACGGTGATGCTGTAAGTTTTAGGAGGTCGTCTTCCGAAGACACTAATTTAACATCAACTCTTTTCCTGAGATTTTCCATTGTCTTCCCGTAGATTGAGTTGTTCATTAACTTAAAGAAGTTCTTTTCGAACGTGTTACGGGCTACTGACCTTTTCTTTGTATTGAAGTCAATATAGTTCTTAAGCCACGGGGACTGCTTGAATTGATATACTTTTTGACATACTTTTTGAGCTCTTTGATAATCTTCTTCCTTCACCTCTGACTCGTATAGTGTTGAGTAAAACTTATCCCTGCTTGGAAGACCCTCAGTATCGAGTTTACTAATGTCATTCAAATATTCATAGGGGAATACACCTTTTTGTGTTACAAGATTGAAGTCCTCACCTTTCCATCTCTTACCTACTATCTTAAAGTCCTCAGGTGAAAGGTTACTCACAAGTGCCTCTAGAGAAGAAGCCATAAACTGTATGGAGTCAATGAACACAAGATTTTTACCCAGTGAGAAGGAAATGTATTTTTCCATATTATTTGGGATCACATTAATGTTCATCTTGAATTTACCAATCTCCTGCATAATTAGATGGCTGTCGTAACCTCTTAGATTATGGAAGACCACAGGAACTTTCCATGTAATTCTATACTTCAAATTACACATATTATGAGCAGCTCCACGGAACATTCCTGTTACATGATCGTGGTCTCTTACTCTGTCATCTCCAAGATCGTTACCACATATTGAACAGTTTCTAGTCTTCCAAAACTCGGCTTCCTGTTCAGGTGTAATTACCATCTTTTTCTTAAATATCTTGTTAACCATTTCCCTGCACTTAATGGACTCCTTCAGTACAGTCTTCAGGAAGACTAATGTGGCGTCTTCACCAACGTAACTTATGTATTCACCAGAGTACTTATCATCATAGTGGCAGACTGTTTTTAACCCAAAACTACAAGCCTTGTGTGTTTGGTAGAGGTCTGTACTGCTTTTTCCCCCAAGGTTTTCAGAATCAGCTTTCTTCTCCTCTGGAACTAGTATGGACTCAAAGTCAGCGTATATTACGAATGGAGCAGGCATTGAGTTTCTGTGGTGTTTGAACTTTATTTTCGTACCTTCCTTGGGAAGCTTTGTGGCCTGGGTTCCGTTTACCTCAATGCAGGTCTCCTTGTGTTTTTCCAGTAGCTCTTCACTCTTACAACTATGGAGACAATGTAGGCAAAAGTGTTTCTTATGTTCGTATCCACTTACACTATACAACATTCTATTAATGTCCTTTATGAGAACGTAGTGGTTGTTACCGTTACCGTCACCTAACAGAAGCAGCTCCATATGCTCGTCATATTTGGTCTTGGAGTTTCTTATGGGATAGAACTGCTTTTTACCCTTATAACCGAACACTGATATGCTCATACCATTCTTCCTCTCAATTTTGTCAATATCGCTTATTTTCACAGGGAAGTCTATTCCTTCGTAATCCAGGTTTTCTGCGAACTCCATATCCTGTCGTGTTATGGTTGTTCCTCTCCTAGCTTTAGGTCTTACGTGTCTCACATGACTCCACATAAAACATTTGTTGTCGTTGTTTTTCATGTTAATGAGACCACATTTTGGATTACTAATGTCCGCAGGTAATTTCATATATGAACTACCCTTCAAAGGTTTGTACATCGCAACGTTAACGTAGTGGCTTTCAATATTTAGAATAATCCAATTTGAACCTAAGTTCTGAAAGGTTTCAATTCTAGATAATATTGTCAGTTGGTTTTGGGCGGCTGTACTTTCAATATCCTCGAAGTTAGTCGCGGTTCCAGTTTTTGACTTGAAGTATATTGAATCCTTCTTTGTCTTATCGTTACCGATCTCCTTCGACATTCTCACCTTGATTGTCTCAGTGTACTTCAACCCTCCCATTCTCTTCAATTCGTTCACTAATATTCCTCTCACTACCTGCCTACTTGCTGTCATCTGGTCCAGGGGATCCATATACTGAGGAGTTATCGAATATTTAATTATTTAATTTATAATTTTATAATTTATTCTTTAATCTCCAGTTATTGTAATATTTGCAATTTACGGGTTCCCATCCCAACTCGGGGAAGACTTTGCTATACAGCCTATCCTCAAGGATGTTCATAATTTTTTGTGTCTTAATGTCCTCAGGGGGATTTCTCAGTGTGATGTGGTTCATACTAGCTAGCCTTAGCAGGTAAAACTTATATCTAACTATGTTGCGCCCCCGCTGCAGTCTGAGTCTTTGTATACACCTTACGATGCTTCTAAACTGCTCCCTTATTATGTCCCTATCCCCAGAGGCAACATGTTTAAATAAGTGTCTCTCGAACCACCTGACCCTATTATGGTAGGACTTCTTTTTAAGATAGTCGTCCTTGTTGTTGTTGTTGTAACTGATGTAGTATGTGAGGTTATTATCACTTGTTCCACAATCTGTACATATTTCTGCTCCACCTATTAGCACAATGGACTTACTGTTACACTCGCTACATACCGGATCGTATACACGTTTCGTTTTCATTCTGCTCCTTACGTACTTCATCACTGCGGTCTCTAACTCTTCCATTGTTTCTGCGCTCCTACCTACTCGTTCCATTTCATCAACTGTTACCAACGTAAGCCAGTCTATTCCTCTATACTATATATGTAGAAATTTTTTACCGCATTTATTTACAATATTATAGCATTAGGTAGGCAGCCCCTCCAACCACCCCACCTGTAATTAAACTGAATATTGTTATATACTCTTCCATCTCAGGGCTAGGTTTATAGTGATTACTCAGTTGCGGCGTTCTTGGCATAGCCTTACGTGTTAACTCACTGATTCTTCTAACAAGTTCAAGTGACTTATTTGTCGAATTAATATCCTTATCTGCCTCAGCTAGTTCTGACTTTAGTTGAGCAATTTTATTTCTTCTATCAGTGACTTCTTCAAGGTACTTCTCTCTTTCAGCTGTTAGATTTTCCATTGCTATGTTGTGTCTATGGGCTTCCTTAGCGTAACCATTTTTGTCAAACATTTTGAATAGATACCCTGCTCCAGCAAATGCAAATGCGTTAAAGAGTCCTCCTGCAACTGCCCCCGCCATTGTATAGTTTTACCTAGGTTTTGAATGGGTCATCTGGAAGGTACTTATTATCTTTTAGGTAAGATACCAATAAAGATGAAAGACTAACTGAGACAGCTAACTTTGCCATTCCTTTTACATTTTCTGGTGTGACTAGAGGCTCCTTAAGTAACTTCTTAGATGCCATTGAGATTCCAACTGCTCCAGCTGTGAGTAACACTGCGTTGTACACTTCCTTCGTCATCTTTGATTTTTCACTCATCTTGTTATAATATATAATATGTTTAATGTACTATTCGAGTGAGTCTAACTTGGGTACATCAGCTTTCCTAGTTACTTCAACAGTCTCAGTTGCGTGTTTGGGTTCGTCTTCTTTGGTTTCCCTCTGGTGTGACTTGAATGCTAGCACTAGGGATATAAGAGCGATCACAACACCCACGTATGTAATTATATTATCACTGCTGTGTGACTCCTTAGGTTCCACAAGCTTCCTTTTCCTCTCCTTTGCTATTTTGCTGATTGCGGCTAACCTTTTCCCAGCGGCTACTCTCTTTGGGTCCTTCTTCTTCTCACTTGTTACTTGTGCTTGGATTTGCTCGGGTTTATCTTCCATAATACTTGTAAGATACCTTAGGTTTAACTGGGTTTCATCTTATGAGATATCTTAGGTTTTACTGGTGAGATAACTTAAATTTGCTTGCAAGATATCTCAAATCTACTTGTAAGATAACTTAAATCTACTGGTGAGATAACTGGTGAGATAACTTAGGGGCCGATTACATGGAGCATTTTCAACCCCGGGGTTGAACTCAGCCCTGTTAACCGGGTTGAAATTTTTTGCGATTGCATGGACGATTTCAACCCCTTTATTTTGTTTTCTTGTAATAAATAGTCACTACCACGTATGCTCGAATAAGTCATGATAATTTCAGCCCTAGGTTGAAACGATTACATGACAAAATTTTCAACCCAGGGCTGAGTTCAACCCCGGGGTTGAACTCTGCCCTGGGTTGAAAATTTTGTCATGTAATCGCGCGTTTGATTTTGATAGAGTTTTGTATTACAGACAGGGCTGAAATTTCAACCCGGTAAACAGGGCTGAGTTCAACCCCGGGGTTGAAAATGCTCCATGTAATCGGCCCCTTAAATATACTTGTGAGATGTCTCAAATCTACTTGTGAGATAACTGGTGAGGTAACTTAAATATACTTGTGAGATGTCTCAAATCTACTTGTGAGATAACTGGTGAGGTAACTTGAATATGCTGGTGAGGTAACTCTGGTCTACTTAGTAACGACTACGTTAGTATACGCTGCTAGCTCAGCTAGTACTTACCTGATTTGAATCTTGGTCTGTAAGTCTTTGTGTTGCAAACTACTTTTTTCACTGCAACTTTTCTTGCGGTTTTCTTAAGTGAGAAGTACTCGTTAATTCTAATACAAGTTTTCACTAGATCATCGGATATCATTGTCATGTATCCTATTCCACTCAGTTTTCTAAGCCATATATCCTGATTCTCACTTATAACTCCGGTGCCCTTGGGAGACTTGAATTCTATCGCGAACCCTTTGTACTTCCCCATAGGATTCTCTATGATAATATCCGGTTGACCACCCTTATATCCCTTCTTCCAAGCATCACATCTTCTTGACACCGTGTCCTGGTACTCACCTAGACCAGGTACTATTACAGCCTCCGGGTAGTTATCTCTGATGTAACTCACAACTGTAGTATGAAGGTCAGTTTCATTTATAATAATCATTTGGTTGTATCTGAGTGACCTTCTATCTAGTAACTCATATGAGCCTGTTTTACGGATAGATGGAAGGACTTCGGTGAATACCCACCTCCTAAACTCCTTTGCTGTGTTAAGCTCTGATCCGAAAATTAACTGGTACAGACCCTGTTCCGTAATTAGGATGGTGTCAGGATGACCCTTTGAAAGGGTGTCCTTGAGGACACCCTTTCGGGTGGACCCTAGAGTACACTTGTCCTCTTTCCAAACATGACTTTTGACTGCCTTCTTTGTGTCCAGGTACCCGAGAGACCTCGCCACATCTTTTGCGTAAAACAGTACATCCTCACCTTTCTTAATGATTCTTACACAAGCATTCAACTTCTGGTTTCTGAATAGTTTTTCCATCTTTCCCTATACTATATATGTAAAATTTTTTTGGCCTATTTATTTTGATTTATGAAGCAGCATTCCCTCATCCCACCCGGCTGCTTACCATAACTATGTAAATCCTACAGCAAATAAAATATTACATTTCATTTAGCTTCTTGTATATCTTTACAACTGTTTTAACTGTGTCATCCTTAAATGTATAAAAGTCGTGTTGTAGTGGTTCCATTACTTTGAACTTGAGTGAGTATAGGTCCCTCTCGATTGCGTCAACTTTCTTCCCAATCTTGTCTATCTTTTCCATGCTCTTATTAGTTTTCTCAATTAACTCATTGATTATGGCTTCGAATTCTCTTCCTTCCCAAGCGTTCTCCCACTCGTGGTCGGACATTCTTCTTCACTATGTAATAGGATATGTTTTGCTTCCTCAGATATTTCCTCAGTTTTTTCCTTCTTATTCCACTTGTGAGCAACCACATGCTTAGCTGTTGTACATCCACCTGATATGAGACCTATGAATGGAATGTTCGGGGATATCATTCTAGTTAGATATGATACATCATCCTTTAGAAGCTTATCACTAAGTAGTTCCTCTGACAGCTTCTCAGAAGATTCCACCGCATTAAAACTTCCTAGTATGGAAGCAAACTTTGAGATAATAAGTGTTGATAAGAAGTCACTTGCGCATGACATCCTTTGACTCTCATACTCCTGGTACAGTCTATCTATAACATCTTTGTTGGACTTTCTTATGAAACTTGCGGACTTCTCTACTATACCATCCCTGGATAGCTCTATAAGCTTGTCCCTTCTGCGTTCGGTCTGCGACTTATCTGCGGTGGACTTAGTTTTTCTTGCGGTGGACCTAGCCTTCTTTTGCGGCGTCTTTGCGGCCTCTTCAACTTCTCTTACAACCTCGAAAAATTCTTCCTCAGATTCACTTCCCATCTTCTATATCCTACGCGGTGTTTAGTTTAATGGTGTATGTGTAAGGGTGAATAAGTAGTATATCCAGTGCGGTGAACTTTTCATCTTTTAGTACCCTTGTAATCTCTGTAATTGTCTCCTGAGGAACACCACTTAGGTAATAATCTGTTATAACCTTCATATCCCTACGACTAGGGTTGTAGAATGTAACTAGCCTGGAAATGTTCTCCCTGAACGGTTTCGCTACTGAGGACAATTGTTGGGTAATTACAATGACAGATATATTGTAATGTCTTGCGGAGAATGCTAGGCGCACCAGTTCTGAGACTCTTTTCTTTACATCTTGGCTTGCAGTACAATCGTCCACTATGATGAGAGTTTGTGTACCGCGGAATATGGTGGACACTGCCTTCAGAACTAGATTGATCATTTCCTGTTCGCATGGAATTTGTATTACTCCATGGTCACTTATGTGAGACCAATTAATGTAAGTTGTGTTCCACTCTATAGTTGGACATATAATCACAATGTAATCAAAAACTTTATTGTACTCTGTTTCTAGCATATTAAGTAAGAACTGAGTTTTACCACTTCCAGTCATTCCCACAATGAGCATATTGAATGGTGGTTCTAGTTTCATCTTTATGCTTTACCGTTAGTACTAGCTACGTAAGCTACGTTTAGTATTGAATACTTGATAGATCCCTATTAGCAAAGTTAAGTAGAGCATCTGATACAATAAAAATATTGCACTGAACGTCTGCTGTTGTGGCTCTCTTATTAATTTCCATAAGTACTCCAGACTGTGTGTTAACAATCTTTCTACCTCCTCCAGTGGTGTCATCCTGTGTTGACCTTAGATCTACTACTAAGGCGAAACCATTAGTGAAGAACTTGCTGATGGACATAAATTCGTCTGCCATGGATTTCTCACACATAGGGCAGAAAAATCGTTTTGCCTCTTCAAAGAACCTACTTTTAGGAAGTCCTTGGGAGAAGACTGCATTAGGCACACCCTCAATGGTAAGGTTAACTTTATCAATGTTTGGGTAAATATATTCTTCAGAATCAGTTCTTGCTCTGTTGGTAAATAGAAGGACAGTTGCTGACATGCTCTCTCTGGGGATATTAATGTTTTCATTGACAATGGTAAGATCTTTGTCCCAATTACTTGTACGCATAAGTGTGACGTGCTTGTAGGACAGCGAGCGACCCGTTGAATACATCCTTGATACTTCACCTGCAAGGGCGTCATTCTCAATGGTCTCATATTCTAACTCAAGATTGTCTAGTTTGTAGTTACCCTTAGCTTCACCTCCTTGAGCCGTCATAATCTCACCTGATTCGGGGAGTGTAAGTATGTACATAGGATTGTTGTTCATGTGGAATGGTACGTATAGTCCATGGTCTGCAATTATTTTATCAATTGGTTTTCTAAGCTTAGAACCATACACACTGTGGAGAAGTGCATCTGCTACTTTACCGACATCACCAGCTTTTGCTCCTGAGTCATCACCTGATATTAACTTCCTGAGATTCTCACTTGCGAGACCCTGTTCTGTCATCTTATTTCTGTCACCCTGTGTTAGCCATAGATCTTTGTATATTTCATACAAACTCTCTCCTGAACAGTCATAAGCTGTTTCACCTGCTACTTTAACCTGAAGACGTTTTGCAATCAACGTAGACAGGTTATTGTTGAACCGGCTTTTTGTATTTGAATTTTTGAAGTCAAATAAGAGTGCAAGTGACCCTGGAACTAAATAAGAGTCGGGCTTTAATTTAGGGATGTTAATGTACAGCTCTTCACCTGGGCTAATAGTTGTTGGATTAAAAGTTACAACACTTCTAGTTCTAAGTCCTTTTATGGATGTCATACGGCTCCTCCTGAAGCCAGGCTGGAGTTTTCTTTCTGTGGTATTCATACTTTATACAATATGTAATGTTTAGTTATATTTGTACAGTAGAACTACTGCTGCACATATAATGATTATCCATATATTATCCGCTGCTAGCTCTACTCCATCGGCTATCTTCTGGAATACAGGTGGTAGTTCTATTTGATTGTTTACCAACTCACTGATCCGCTTATCTAGCTTTCCTGTTGTGTCACCTACTTTCCATAATATGTTTCTAGTTGATGCTACCAGTCCTATGATTATAGCTGATGAGGAAATTAGAACAGCTGATAAGATGCCTGCATTCTCCCTTGCCCATAACCTGAGCCTCTGTAGTCTCCTCAGATCATCCCGTTTAATGAGATCCCTCTTTTTCACCTTATCTCTTAAGTTGAGAAGTTTATTTAAGTTTGACTCTCTCTGGTAATCATTTGATAGCATTCTGATGTACCTCAGTTCTTCCGACTTTTCTTTGAAACTGTCTTCGTCTAAATTGAATAGTATTAATTCATTTAACAGTCTATCTCCCCTATCCATTAGATTATCATATGACAGTTTAGATAGGTCAGGGAATTTCCCAGCTAATTGCTCTCTCGTAAGGTCTTTGCTTTCATATGTTTCCAGCATTTTTCTCCTCCTCAGTTCCCGTACATAGTTAGTTTCCTCGTTAATATCCTGGGTCTCCCCAGCAGTTTCGCTTTCCCTGAGATTATCGTTAAGGTACGATAATTTGTCGTCTAAAGTTTCTATATCCATTTCTTCATAGTTCGGATACTTTTCATTCAACTCCTCCATTCTCCGGTTATCGTATTCCTCTTGGTTCTCCTCCATTGTTAATTTACTTTGTGTAATAGTTATACACAATTAGGGCAGCTGCTACAGCTAATACCCATAAGTGTGACGCTAACCAGGCAACTCCTTTGGCTCCCCATGATAGCGCTGTTGCAATTGCGTTCAGGATTGGAACTAGAATTGGCCCTGCTTTCTTTGCTAGATTTGCTAGTGCTTTTGCTACTTTACCAGTAACCTTTGCTGTCTTCACAATGGCTCCCCTAGCATGGATTAATAAGGCTGTAATTAAACTAGCTGTTGACACTGCTATCCCTACAAGTCCCACCTTTTCCTTTCCTACCCAGTCTATAAACTTACGTAATCTAGAAATGTCATTTAGTTGTGCCTCTCTTGCTTCCTCTACAGTTCTCTGCTCTAGTGTCCTATCTCTAGCTACCTTTAAACTGTCAATTCTTTCTAGGAGGGAATTGTACTCAGTTGTACCTTCAGCTTCAGTGGCCCGTTCCACGGTTTTACCAATGGCTTCATTAAAGTAGTCCGCTTGTATTTGCAACGCTCCATTGGGACCTGTTCTTCCTTCAATACTTGATCCATCAGGTGGGTTAAGAACACCTCTCAGTTCATTGTTTTCTTGCATTGTTAACCCTGGAAGATCTCCTAATTTTGCACTTATATCTATTAACTCTATGTTCTCACGGTCAACGTATTCCTCATCACTGTCATCAAATTGCGGCTCTTCTCTACTTCCCTCATAAGTTGATTCATCACTTGTAATTCTGGCGTCAGGATCCGTAGGGGTCTGCTTGATTTTCTTTATAAGTTCTTTGTATTCTCTCAGAGCTGGTGAGTCCTTTGAGTACACAGGTTTGCTGGTCTTACCACGTTTCATTATTTGTGTTCCACTTTTGTCAATACCTTGTTCACTTCTAAATACCAACACCTCTGTGCCATCGTTGAGTGTTCTTACAGATGATCGTTTGATGAGTTCCCTGACATATTTATTCTTAGGGTCTAGTATTAGTCCCTCCTTACCCTTTATAACTCTTGTGACAGCTTGAACACGCTCCACTTGGTTTTCAAAGTCTCTCTCCTTGTTTGCTGTTGAAATCTTATTTAGCCTCTCTAGGCGGGCTTCTATTTCATCCCAGCTAGCGTCAAATGATTCGTTGAATGCATTTAGAACATCTGGAAGTACATTGTTTGGATCTTCTACGAAATCTACTCCTGGGGCGGTTGTGCTTCCCGATGGACCTGAAATGTTTACTATACCATCATTTCCTTCGGTGAAAGTTGTTTCCTGCTCCTTAATTCTATTAATTTCCGTAATGGTATCCTTAAGGCTAGAAACTGTTTCTCGTGATCTCATGAGACTCTTTACATAGTCCAGTTCACTTTTAAGAT